CGAATAGTTTCGCCACCCTCCAATGTGAAGGGCGAGAAGAGACGTCAGGGGATCAGTCTTCGTAAAGGATGCAGCGAACTCGACTTTGCTTTCTCTCCTTGTTTAGTATCACCCTCTAGTCTTATACTCGACGTTCTCGTCAGCTTTATCCTTCCTGGACTATCCTCATGTTATTCTCTATTTTCCTTCTTCCTTCACACCAAACTCCTACTATCCAAGGCCACCTTCCCAGTGTTAACTTGCCGCATACATATCACAAGAGACCTTTTCATTGAATGTACTCATGAAACTTTGCCAAACTTATTGAACCAAATTTTTACTGATACTAAAACTATCATTGTTGTAACTAGAAGTAACTAGAATTAAGATTATCAAGAATATCTTCTTCTTCCGTTTCTGTTTTCAATTTCAAGTTCATTGTCAAGAATTATATTTCACTTTTTTATAGAATACTTTTTACCTTTAAACGTTTAAACATTCTACAGAGTTTAGCTCAATGCCAGCCTATCACCTACACAATAAAAAACATCGTAAACTGAAAAGAGATTAAATTGGCACTGTGTACACGTGAATTTACGAGAGCGATAAAAGAGAGTATGTGTATGCTATAAAGCTCCAAATAACGATCATTCTCTATACGACGTATAGCATTTTACAAATTTGTCCCCCCAGCTATCTTTTTGTTATTAAGCAAGTTAGTTTTATTATTCTTCATTTAATTTCACTGATTATTCATTAAATATTTTACCTCAAAACATCTTTCACTTCTCTGTTTATTATCAACACAAAACAATAATGTTTCTATTTCTGATAAATATTGAAAACTAAAACTGAACTCTTAAATGAATCCACATAAATTGAAAACTTTGATATTGATGAAAAGAATAAATAACTATGAAGTTTGAGAAAGGCTGTTGACATTTCTAAACTATAGAACATCAATAAAAATTTCCTTCCACTCGAATTTTTATCATTTTACATCATCATTGTACCTCTTATAATAAATTTTAGACAATGATAAATAAGTTGTTGAATTTTAAATCATGTCCATCCCTAAATTTGGTTATTTAATAAATAAAATTAAAATTGAATAAGAAAGTTCAACAATAGACGAACTGTAATAGGAATAGCTCATTTAATAGACAAAGTAAAAGAGAGATGACACTTTTCGTATGATCTAGAAGTTGCCCATTATATGCTAAAATTTAATTAAACTCAGCGAGATGTCAAAGGCAGCAAAGGTGGCTCTAGTAAACTGACAAGACGAACAATGTAGTCGCAGATTATTACATAGTCATCTCTACATATAAGCTGTGAACCTCATGCTTACTCCCTCACTCTGCTTTACCTATGTTCTCGTCACTACTCTTCGAGTATCCGGGGGTTGTCTTCCTAGACTGGTCACACAACTCTTGCGCATGTGTATCAACTGAAGAATATAACCTACTCTTTCCATTGTCCTCAGGCTAAATGGAATGTGTGCAGCAGACACTGAAACTCCTGCAAATACTGAGATTCCTCTCGAAACTTTCATATTTCAATTTTCCTGACTTGTTTAAATCTTTATTTACATTCTACCTCGTTTAAATTCAACTTAATTATACTCAGAAGCTAATTAAAATGAAATTTCCATTTAAAAAAAGAATTAAAAATATTTCGACTTAAATCAAGAAGTTAATCAATTGAAGACTACCAAACAAGTTGAATGAAGAGAAGATGAATAAATAAATATGGTGATTTTGAAATGTTAAGACACAATGTTCAAGTCTTACGGTCAATAACTGGATATACCCTCCTCCATTTTCCCTCTTGTCCTCTTCCTCATCTTACCTAAACTCATCTGACCAACGAGAGAACCCCTAGAATACGACCCCATTGCTAGGAAGATTGCACTGAGTCAGAGAACCGCGTGTATGTCACGTACCTCCAGCTGGACATGCAAATATTGAATTTCTTTTCTACCCCTCGAAAGCTATATTCACTCTTCACAGAATCTCTAGAATTTTTTTCTTTTTTTTTATCTCTTTTTCTTTCATATTTTAATTCCCCAAGCTTTTTTCTCTTCAATTTTAACCAATATTGCTAAATTATATTTTTTAGAGTAAATAATCTTTTATCGTTCAAAGTTGTTCACCCTTTAGATTGATTAAAGTTTTCGAACCCAGTAAAGTTGTAATTTTCTCTTTTCATTTTTTTTTAATATTTAATATTTAGATTCCTCCGATTTTTTTACTCAAACTCATCTAGCTGAGTTATGATTACTTTTTAACTTATTAAGCTAATGAATTTACCCAGTTTGGAGGTTTTTTGGGATTCAATGATAAGTGTTGATTAGTTTTAATATGCCATAAATTTGTTAAAGCAGATGAATATTTTCAACCAAAGTTGATGATTTGATATGTTTGATTTATTCAAATGTATTAAACATAAAGTCAATATTCAGTAAAGGTTATTCAGTAAACATAAATTTTGGTCTACCGTTGAAATTAACAGCAATTGGACTATCAAAGTGGCTTCTACTCAACTGAATTCACAGCAGCGTCATCAAATGTCAATACAGAAATTTTCCAACGACTGTACAAGAGGAAGCTGAGTGTGTAGAACTAACAATTAGCATTTGTGTCACGCACATACAAACAAGTATTAATTACGAAACATCTGGTTCAATTAATTATAATTGAATAAAAATAATCTAGAGAGAATATCTTTATTTATATACTGTTAGAGTGAATGAAATACCTGTTATTTTTATTTGACATGGAGAAATCAAGAATAAAATGTGAAATTCCTCTTCATTTATACTGAAGGGAATAAGTTAACAAAACTTTCCACCTTGCAATAAAAAATAACTATTATGATCTGATAACTACAGGGAGTAATGTTTCGAGTAGCTGCAGTTGGATCCAATTGAGTATTTTATGATATATTAAATCGATTTAATATATCATAAAATACTCAATTTGATTCATTTCAGTTGAATATAAATACATAAACATAATTATCTATATCGTGAAAATTATTTTAGATCAATGTTGAGACATGAAAGTCTAATATCAGTAGAAATTTACTAATTCTTGGTTCAGCGTTAGATTACGATGAAATATATTTATTCAATGTTAAATAATGATTAAGAAAATCTGTGTTGTTGATATGGTTCTGACTGACTATTTGATTATATTATTTGTTTAAAAATTAAACTTAAAATCAGTATGTTAATATAATATGAAAGATAAATAACATTAAACCATTTAGCATCAATAATTGGATTTCATTTGACCAATGAAAAATTAGTCCAACTTCATTCTTCAAAAAAATATGGTCATATATAAATTTGAAAGTATTACCAAATACATTTAAAGTATATCATTACACATATGATATACATGAAATGAATTCTTTAGTAAGAAGCTCTTTATTAAATCATTCAAATTCCTATATAACTTTGATTTTAAATCCTTCAGTTTTTACGGTACTTCTTGCAAGCTCTTTGTTCTTCATGCACGAGAAGGCACATATTTATAAATTCATGCATACATATTAGTGTATTTTATTGAATGCTCGAGTCAAACAAGCGAAACTTGTGGGAAATTGTGTACCATTCAACTGTACTTATTAAAAGCATTGCTAAGGCTCTCAGATTCTTTACTGGGAATATTCTAAGCTATTGCAGTCATATTAAGTCAATCTTGATAGGTGATAAGGAAATTAATTACTTGATAATTTCCATCAATTATCGTTAACACTAACGATCTTAGTTTATTAGGATATTCAATATTTTATTCATTCAATTTTCTTCTTATAGACATAAATAAATGATGAAGAACTTTTTTTTTCTTGGTTTTATAATATTTTTATCTATTTGAAAAAGCTATCACTACCTGCTGAGTATTCTTATTTATAACTTTAGAATCCCTGAACTGATTGAAAATTGATTTATTTATATTTAAAGCTTGAATAGCTCTGCTTAATACCAGTTACTCTACCTTTATATTTAATTATGTAGGAAATAAACAGAAACGCTAAAAGTGGGCGAAGCCATAAGTACAGTTAGACTCTAATGAATTCCTTATTAATTTCGTATCCAGCTTGAGTCATTTATTTTAATTAAATTTATTATTATACTGATCAGATCAATGCAAAGAATTTGATTATACCAAAAATGAATGAAGTTCAGAACTTTTTATTCAAAATATCTTCAACTGCTTAAAGTTCTTGATAAGATACAATCCAGAAGAACCAAATGTTCCCTTATAATTTTAATTTAAAGATGAAAATGATAATGATCAGTTCACCTACTTTTTACCACCCACATCAATCCAAATACTAAGTATTTCTATTTTAGCTCAACTAATCAACTATTGAATAATTTATTGATCATTTTAAGAAAATACCCCGAAAAACATCAAGTACAAAACAGTGGCGTACAAGAAAATGAAGGATGAGAAGAGTATTACGAAAAAGAAAAAAAACGGGAAGAGCATCAGAAAGACGTCGACTTCTGAGGCGTGATAGTAAGACGGGAGCGTTATTGCTTAGAAGGTTGAGTCCACGTTGGTTATAAGGTGGTGATGGTGAAACGACGCTAGTGTAAGAAGCAATATCGAGGCGGTCACGTAGACCTCAAGCTGACCTCAGCACTGAGCAATAACGACGCTCTGCTCGTTCTTTGGCTTCTCTGCTGACGCCTTTACATTTCCACTACTCAAGTGGAACAAGAGAAGGAAAAAACCTTAAATAAGGACTTGGGGATTTATACTGATTTCAACTGACACATATCGATAAAAATCAGTTAGATATTACTTTACTGTTTATCCTCACAACTTTTTTATTTTATTGATTTGTCTTTCATAATTGTTTTTTTTTTTTAATATTCAATTTGATGACAATGGTTAAATTGATTTTATTACGATACATTGAAAGGAAAGATTCGATGAGGATTCTTTTGTCACAATTATGAAATCTATTGTAAAAGTACTCAATGTAATTATCTCATTACTCACCGTACATTTTCCCTTCGTCGGAAAGGATGATTTTACGCCGACCACATGGTGGATATATGGTGAGAGCTTCTTGGAAGCTTTGCTCGATATCCGGTGACCAAACACCCTCCGCGTCTGCCGCCGAAAGGTCCTTTTCATCCTGAAACACGAAACATATTTTATTTATATTGAATCACTACTTTACAGTTATAAATTATTTCCTCTGATAAAAAGAACGTCATTTCAGAGTACATTTAATACCTGTTTTCCAAGAAATTTTTAATTGTACTCGCAGGTTGAATGGCAATCATTATAATTTTATGATGAATTATAATTGATACCATTAAAATGGAAGAATTTATGAGAAAAATAGCTGTAAGCATTTTTAAAGTATAAATGTGTTAGTAAAATGATTGGAAAACAGCAAGGTTCAATAGGTCACGATTCAATCGACAAAAATCAAAAGCCAATAAAAATGATATGAGAAAAAATTAGATTTAACATTGATATTGTATTTTTCAGTACGATCAAATATTTGTTTCCATTTTGTAGATGCACTTGAAATTAATAAAAAATGGAGTTTTTTTGCTATCAGAGTAACTAGTATTTGAAAAAATGAAATAATTTCCAAACGCTATTTTTCCAATTTAAAGCAATTTTTCGTTATATTGAGAATTAATATCATAAAATAAAATATTGAAAATAGTCTTTTGAATAAGAAATATATTGTCGTCCATGAAAAATGGATCTTTACTAGACTAAATTTTTTTTCAAATAAAGTATAATATATAAAAGAGTGTGTCTTGTTGAATAAAGTGATATTGTGAATTTCTTGAATATTCCACGCATCTTTTAGACCTCTGGTTCATCTAAAGTTGAAGAGTCTTAAACAGAGGAAGGATGAGTATCCTTCAGGTCCTTTATAAAATGCCATAAGGATTCTACTGTAAAGATGGAGAGTAAGAAGAAGGTGGTATCCTTTTGTCTTGAATTTAAAAACACTGGAACGCGCAAGGTGTGTTCGATGCAAGGAACGTATCCAGGAGAGTCGGGTACCTTGGGACGAACAAAGGAACAGAGAACATTCTTGGCACGCCACCCGCCAAGAAGGGAGAGCGTTAGAGTTTAAAAGCAAGAGAGAATGGAAAAGAGTCAAGATTCAAGCTCGACTTTTTCGCAACATGTGCCAATCTTTCAGATCTCTCTTCGAGCAAACTATCTCAAAATCCTTTTCTCATTCTTTCGCGTTCTCCTCTTCAGTTTGTTCTTTGCCTATGATACCATTTTAAACTTTAAGTGCATGAAACCACCTTGCATTCGTTTCTCGCATGTCGAACAGAAATTCTGGAATTTCAACGGAGCCCGCCAAGTGTCTTTCAGTTCTTTTGTCCTCTATTCAACTCATATATACTATTTACACGTGTTCTTGCACGTGAGAATCATACAATCACGTTACTTTAGACACTAAATAGATATGTACACTTGTAGTGACGGTTAGTCGTAGAATTTTACCAAAGTTTTTCAATCAAATTTTTTTCTTGTGTAATACATATGAAATTATTATGAATAGAACTGCTCAGAAATAAAATGGTGTTAGCAAGTTCTTAAGAAACGTGAATTACTCACACATTTCTACATGTGCAAGTTAATAATTATAACTCAATTATCAAATGTCAATTAATTCAACGTGGTTACTCACACAATATCACTCTACTCGAATTATAATGAATTTGATAAATGTGTTCTATAATTAAACTAACTAAAATAATTCATAGAATCATCAATTGAAACATAAATTAACCGAATTCAATTCTGACCAATAAAAAATCAAGATAATATTTTATTTAATCTTCCACGAAATTTCTTTACGAATATTCATTGAAAAAATGGTAGTGAATTATTGGAAAAAATCAAAACTTTTGATATTTTTTGAAATAAACATAATTAAATGAAATATTACTGTTCAATGTTTTAGTAGAAAGTGTGTATATCAATCAGACCTTAAGTGAATAAGGTAAGCCGTGGCTAGACGTCGTGACATTTGAGTTTCTTGGGATAGGTAGAGAAAGACGGATAGCTGTATACAAGTGTGCAATAGGTTATGAGTTTATAATGTATATGTTATGGTATAGCTTACATCGCTGATCTCGCCAACATCGAGGTTCTTCGTATCCGAGCCGGAGCCGTTGGCGTCGGGCGGCGGCCCGGAACTCGCGGGTGTCCACGGTGAAGAAATGGTGTCGGCTGCAGCCACCGCACTGCCTGCACAAATAAATAAATAAATGTTAGAGAGAGAAAAACATTTCCAATACTTAGGAATAAATATTTTATCATGATATATGGATAATTAGTTCTTATTGGTTCTAATTCAATAAAAAAGTAATCAATGGAATAATTTCATTAGATATTATTGAAAGCTTTCTGAGCTTCTAGAGTTTTCTAATAAAAAAAGCCTCGATTAAAATAAAAATATAGATGTTAATTGAAACGAGAATGGAATAAACGAGGTAGAAATACTACAGGGAAGGGTTTAGAGCTCAACAAGTGGTTGCTGATATCGCGTATCAGTACAGTAGCACGAGGTGGGAGCAGACTGTCGACAGTTGCCCCGCCTTCGAGGGTGGAGTGAACGTTGAGCCCCCGGCTAAAGTATCTCCCACCATCGACAGCCACCACTGACACCACTAAACACTGCAACCCTTCGAGAAGCATCTCGTTGGATTAACACCATTCACTATGTATTCCTCTTACTCCACAACCCTTACCTACATCCACCCCCAATCATATCCGCCCTCCCTCAAACTATTTCTCGCCGCGGTTTTTGGGTTGTTGGCACCACCACTACAACCACTACGATAATTTGCTATAATCTAGTTCACTTGTAATCTACCTTATGTCGCTCTACCTCCAATAAGAACTTATTCATATCAATTTATTATTTCCAAGTTGAATTTCTTTATCAAAATATTTACAAGTTGAAGTAATTAATAGATCAACTGGGCGAAGGTTCAATTGATGTCTAATTATTTTATTAAATTTCAATGAAATCAAAAGGAAAAGTATTCATGCAATTTTTGATAAAATTATTGTCATTTTTTTGTAGAGTTTAAAAGACCTTTTTAATAATGAGTCAGTAAATATTCACTATTTTGTTGTAATTTTCAATAACTATTATTGATTCATTTTCTTTTTTTATTAAATACCGTCAGATGAAAGCAGGAAGATTTAGCAGGTAATCAGAGTCCCTGTACTAATTTTTGAAGAATTATTTTTAAAAATATAATAAACAATTAAATGAATAATTTTTGTGAAAAATAATCAATGTAACAGGTAAATTTAAAAGTTAGAAAAAGGAAATAATTATACAAAAATAACGTTCTCAATTAGAAAAAAAGTAAATTCCATTGATGATACATTTAGTATCCTTAATAAAAATGCGTGACGCTGAAGGATGTTGTTATTTTCTCTTAATGAAATATATCATGATATAGTAATGCGGATGTGAATACATTGTCATTGAATTTGACAATTGCATACCAGATAAAATCATCGTTGAATACGAAATTTTGGAGGACAGGAAGAGAGAGAATTACATGTGAAACATTTAGTATACGAGAGGATTCAAGAGATTGGAATAGTTACTGTAGCCTCTGAATGTTATCTATGATATATTCTGATTGTAGGAAACTAGATACATAGATCACAGTAGATGCATGGTTGCATTTGTATTCACCATCTAATGGATTAAGCGAGACAGAGGAGAAACTGCGAACCAAAATAGAGAACGGAAACGTGTATGATGATGTATTACAAGCAATGGTCTGCGTCAAGTTCATAATAGTAATGAGAGAACTGCAGTATTTTGGAATGTTGAACAAGAATTTTGATACTACGGTCATCATAAAATTAATTAATTTCTACTGAAAAAAAATTACACGTCTAGAAAACTTTCTAGATAAAAATATTTACAATCATTACTATTGATTGTAATTAATTACTTCATAATCAAGTATTTTTAGAACTAATTAGGTTTTCAGCAAAATCGGTCCAGCCATTGTTTTTTTAGAATCAAAAAACTGAAAAAAATGGCAAACTAGCCAAATCTTATCATTCTTTCAGCTGGAAAGTTCCTCGTATGGGTCTTTCGAGTCGTACCGAGATCACTGGAGAGCACTAATATTTTTTTTTAATTCATTGAACGGATACAAAAAGCCGATATGTTATGAAAAATAATTATCAATAATTAATGAAGAATACATTTGAAAAAAAATAACAAATGAAATCATCATAATTATTGACGTACGAAGGAAAATAAATCTGGTGGGGTAGCAAGCTTTGACAAATTCCAAATTAATTGAAGTCTGCAGAGGATTAATCGCTTTGTGAAAATCTCCCACACAGTTCGTTGATGCAAAAGGTATTAAAACATGTCCACAAAATCCAAAGCAAAAGCCAAACGAACCGAATGCTATTGACACATATCACGAATAAAAGTCTGCAACACCATTGATCCTTTTTCTATGAGTCTTCCTGATTTCGTATCAAACTATTCCTGTTATCGACACATGTGACAAAATATGAAATTTTATAAGCATCATATACGATACAGAGTACATTGATACATGAAAAGTGTGCTCAATAAAGTATAATTAAAAAGTGTCAGTTAGTATTTATATAAAATTAAATGTCTGTAGAATGAAGTACAAGAGAAACAAGGGTAGAAAAAGACGCAAAAAGCATTCATACTAGAGGTCAGAGGGTGGCTTTAGTGGAATGCGCCCCGTTTAATATCGCGGAACATTAAATATCGTCTCTCGTGTTCCTGCGTTACACATTCTCCTCCATATATTCCTCACTATTTTTTCCCACTTCTGCTCTCTTCTTTTTTAATCTTACACCGTCTAACTAATCCTTCTATTTTATAGCGTCATAGATGATCAATGTACTATGAGTGAATGAGGAATTTTAAAATCAATTACGTAATAAAAGAGTTATTTTCATTGTTTTACTTTTTTATGAATATGAGAATGTAATTTTTTATGTTTTCAATAGAGTTTGGAGAGACAATTTATTATACGTACAAGGTACCACTCCTGTTTAGTTATATTTTATAGCTAGTTAATGAAAAATGAGTATGCAGAGTTTGAAATGCAACAAAAGTATCCAATTGAATTGTGTAAAAATGACTTATTCTATTTTAAGTGAAAATTATTTGGAAAAAGGTATTGGCAAAACATCAATTGAAATTTTTTGTTATTGATAGATAATAAACAAAAGACGTTTTGACAGTAAAAAATTAGACGAGCCGTTATGTGTTGTAACAATTCTTGTATGATTCAGTTATGACAGACTTGTGATAGATCTACCTTTAAAATTTTGTCAGAAAGTAAATATTGCTAAAAATGAAACAGTAAAAATAATGAAACAGACTAAAAAATATATTCACTAATTCTGCAGTCCATTTCATTTCCTCAGATATAAGAAATTAAATTAGACTTCTATATAGATTATTGCTCATATTATCTTTTCTTTATTTATAATAATGTATAGATTATTTTTAAAATTTTTTTATGCTACATATAATATAAAAAAATATCAGTAAGAGTTTAATATAATTTTTATTAACTAACAACAATAAAACTGTTGAATCTTATCAAAAGTTTACAAAAATTTTATTTTTCTCCTTGGATTTATCCCATCTCCTTAAAAATAAGACATTTTTCTGTGACATCTATCATTTTTCTCATTTTATTCCTTCAATGTCATTAACTGCAATTTCAAAAATGTAAAAGATATTTACTTTAATTCAGTAAACGGGATAAAAATAATTGAATGAGATATTCTTTTAATCAGATAATAAAATACCTTGAATGAGAGTTTTTTGCTTATTAACATTTTTATTTATACAAAAAATTATGAAGAGATAGTAATTGAAGGTGTTTCGATTCATAATGAATTCAAGGCACCAGTCATCCGGGTTGTTGAAGATACATAAGAGAAAAATTAACGAGATACTGGAAAGGTTATAAGGGCTGGAAACCCGAGAAAACTATAAAATGAAAAAGATAAAATAGAGTGAGCGAGAAATCGTGCGACAACTCGAAGCAATTAATTTCACGGTTGAAGGGAAGCTCCTAAAAAAGTTTCTCACAAATGCTATTCACTTTTGTACAACTCAATCTCTGGCGCAGTGACAAGTCAACGAGCTCGAAGGCGAACAAGAGAACATTACTAGCGAACACATCACTAAAAAGGAACTAATTATAAATAAAGAAATATGTCGAGCTGGTAAATGTAAAGTTTTAAATGAGACAAGTCAACAACAATTTATAAATGAAGGCATTAAGGTGAAGTTTTATAACAACTTGTTATTGAATAAATAATTACATTTTATTGCTCTAAAGATGTATTAACTTCCTCACTTCTTTATTCTCTTGAATCACGGCTCACTGAAAATAGAAAGCTCCCCTGATGTAGAATGTAATAATAGTATATAAAGACTGTCGCATGAGTGATTATGTAGTTTACTTATCATCGAAGAGAACTTGTTTATAAAATTGTTTTTTTAACTATCACCATTATTATAAATATTATTTCATTCAATTTTTTTCAATTATATTTGATTCCAATTATACAGCTCCTCTATTATGAATGACAAAAATATGATGTGGATTAAATTCTAGATTAGAAGTGAAGAAATTTCACTTAATTATAAAGCTTGGAAGAAAAGTATGAAATTGAATAAATTCTTTCAACATTTTTTTTTGTCTTTTATTTTATTCATACATACTAAAGGGATGTTTTTGTAGTTTAAATGAATGAAATGATAATATGTTTCTTTAGACGCAAAAAAACAGGAAAAAGCGATAAAATTCATAGCGGAGTAGAAAATGAGAATGACGTCAAGAGGATTATAATACGGTTTAGACGATCTTACTCTCAGAGCATTATGAAGTTTTGTCATTCGCAATTAGAGAGATTAATTTACATACCGTCGGATTAACCGTTGGTGCCCATGCATTATTCAAAGAGAATGCTAATGCGCCGTGGTTGAATTAAAGTCAATAATTGAATGCTCTTCGTCGTAGCTGTAGGTAAGGAAAGTCTCAATATATGTATAGGTATACGTAACATTAAATGAAGATAATAAGATGCACGAAAAATAAGGATAACATTATGTTCATAAGAACAGTGTGTTGAAGACAAGAAATAATTATAGTTTGACAAGAAACAGTTTACACCTTTTTTATATTAATTTGTCT